TTTAAGTCAAAGAGTTTGAGGCCAGCCTGTGACAGTGACACATTGTCCCTTTTAAAAATGGAGGTCATTAAAGAAATTGATTTGATTTCATAATTTCTATTAAAGGTATAATAATTCTTTCATAAATTGGGGCGCATGAGTATTGGTGAAAGAAAGAAATGTGCTTGCTGAGCTACCTAAGCTTGAGTGTTTCTGGAAATGAAAAATGAGGGTTTGGTACAGAAAATGGTTCAAATCTCTTGCTTGAAAATCCTGTCTTCTTACGTGGCTAGAACTTGGTAATTTCAGAGATATAGGTAGGCCTTGGGAATAATTGTATTTGCCTAATTAGTTATTAGGAGCAGGTATCTATGGAAACACCTTTTCTATAGCATTAAAATAGGAAATTTATTCTTTCTATTCTGCAAGATCAACACTGGGAGGCACAGCTCTCCTTGTATGATGGCTTCTTGCAATAACTGTCATAATTATATTTCTTATGCCTATGAGAGAATCAGGATGTATCCTTGCTCCCCTTGCTAACCTGAATGCGGTCCTGACCCACAAGTACCTTATGATTTCTTTTCTTAGACCCTTATAGAAACAGGTTTGAATGTTGTCATTTCTCACCAGTGGTTTTATAAGCTCAAAGGCACATTAATTTTGAAAACCTTGTCCTGTATTTTTTCTGTATTAATACTCAGATTTTATTTAAGATAGCAATTATTTTCATTACTCTGTTGCTATGAAAATTTTGTGAAACAAGTGGTGTCTTCTCTTCAATATGAAAATACCTTTGGCAGGAAAGTTTCTGGGATGTGGAAAGATTCCCTGAAAAATTTGACATTTAAAAATTTTTTAAAGTTTCTGAGAAATTTTATTGACTTAAGAATTTCATACAATGAATTTTGATTATATTCAGACCTCCTCCCCCATCTCCACCCTCACCCTAATTTAATTTATAAAAAAACCTGAGTAATTATTATAGCTTGTATAAGAAATAATTGAAAAAAATTTGTTTCCTGAATCAAAAGATGGGGAAATCTCTTGCTTTCTCTTCTTCTGCTATTTAGTTTTCCTTGGTGATGCCAGAGTACTAATCTGGTGTTTTAACATGTCTCAACCAAAGAAAATGTCATTCCAGTTTTGTGTTGTTTTCATTTAACTCCTCATATGTGCTATTCACTTTTAAATCATTCATTCTTGATTTCAAATAAATATTTGAATCCTCAGTTTTACCTGGCAACATCAGGACCTCTCAGTCCTGATCTTCAGTCTTGATGACTGAGGCAGGTAAATTTCTGCTCACCGTGTAAGTGGTTAACAACACAATGTGAAGCAGATAGGGTGAGTGAGAGAGAGCTCAGCAGAGTCGACACTAACTCAGGCACAGAAGTCAAGAGAAGCCCTCTTGGCAGAAAGAACATGTAAACAGGTAAACAGGTGCTAAAGCGAGGCTCAGAAAGGGAGGGATTGTCTAAGCAGAGGGAAATGGACACACAAAGATGTGGAATATCTGCAATAATTGTAGAAAGAAGTGTAGAAAGACTACTAAAAGCTGGTTTTAGGCCCAACATAGTGGCTCATGCCTTTAATCCCAGCACTCAGGAGGCAGATGCAGGCCTTTATGAGTTTGAGGCCAGCCTGGTCTACATAGTCGATGCCAATTTCAGGCCAATGAGACCCTATCTTAAAACAACAACAACAGAAACAATAACAACAACAATAACAACAACAACAAACCCCCCCAAAGAAGACAAACAAACAAAACAACAAACAAATCAACAAACAAACAAAAAAACCCAAAACAGAAAACCCCAAATGCTTGTTTTATTTGGCTTCAGCTCCAGAAATTGGATTTTGTAGAAAATTCTTAGAATAACTTGGCTTCAGCTTAGCTTTTCTAGCTTAAAACCAGGATAATGCAATGTCCAGCTATGTTTATGAACACAAAGCAAGCCTTTAGAGCTACCCTGGAGGAGTGAGTTGGGCATTGTCTGACCAAGAAGCTGAGTTCATTCATACCCTCCGTAGACCTGCCTATGGCTGTCTATTTAAACAAAGGCTGTGGTGGGCAATAATGCACAATCTGACTTTCTTCTGAAAAAGGCTTTTCTTAATTCAAAGCAGTGGACTTTATGTTACTTGGTTTGCTTTGGAAGGGTTTAGAAGTCAGAACTGACTTCTGAGCTTTGAGATTTGTGATCTCAGACACTGGACCAATTCTAATGAGCGATGACCAGTTAGTTGGGCAGTGGTGGAGCCTAAATCCGGCATCTTTGGGCCTACATGGTTACTGTTAGATAAAAGCCAGGCAGGCAATAACCACAGGAAACACGGGAGGACTCCAGCAAAGCAAAGTTTATTTCTTAGGATTGCTGGTGGCTGGCAGCTCATCTGGGGAGAGAAAGGCAACCAGCAGCCTGGTGGCTGTTGAGGAAGTTCTTAGAGGGGGCTGGGGAATGTGGAAGGTGGCAGAAATAGTCTTTAGTTTCAAGGGAAGTAGCTTGAACTGAGACAGTTCTTACATCAGTGGGTCTGGGTGCAGGGGCCTGTTTATCTTCCAAAATTACCTGGGGAACAGCTTTGTGCTGAGACAGCTCTAAATGTAGCTGTCTGGCCAGTTCCTGTTTTGTGAGGCTTTTTTACACTGGGAGAGGGTTGTCTGCAGACCTGGACTCTAACAGTTACCTTGAGTGATGCATGTCAATTCCGGTGGTTTTTTTCCCCCTGATGTTTGTACTTCTGATAATTCACATGATGTGGATGATCCCTCCGTTCCTCAAAAATACACTGTATGGGAATAGAAAGCACTGTGATAATTCAGCATGACAAAAATTAATGGCACATCATCAGGAATTCCCTACAGGCTATGGGTTTAAAAAGTGCTTCTTCTTCCTTATGCAGCAGATGGTGATTAACACAGAGAGCCACAGCTGGCCCACTTGCGGAGAATAAGAGGCTGCAGAGTGCTTATCCCTGGATAGGGCACCCATATCAAACTTCTGCCTCCCAAGGCTCAGGGATCATTGTGGAAGCAGGGACAGAAAAATTGTAAGAGCCAGAGGAGGTGGATGACCAGAGAGAAACAGTTTTCCAGACAGCTGGCCAGTTACTCCTATGAACTCACAACACTGGTAACAGCATATACAAGTCCCACATAAACTCAAGTCAGACAAAATCCCTGTGTAGACATGGGGAAGTGGGTAAAAAACCCCAACCCTACCTGGGGAACTATTGGCAACCAATGACTGCTAAGAGGGGAGATTCAGTCTTATTTAAAGGTGTGACTTTTAGTAGGTTGACCAGGCTCCAGCGAATGAATTTGCACCAAAGGGCATTTGGGGACACAAACCTGACACTATAGGCTTTAACATATAATAATATATAATATAATATAATAAACTGTATATAATTGGGGAGGTACAAAGGGGGTTCAAATATGGGAGGAAATCTAAATATGATCAAAATATATTGTATGAAACTTGCAAAATTTAATAAAAAATTTAAAAAAATGAACCATTACTTACTACTAAAAAAAGTGCTTCTTCTTAAATCTGGATCCTAGAACAGAGCTGCTACATTGCCTGGGGGCTTGCTAGTAACAGATTCTCAGCCTCTCTCTATACCTGCTAAATCAGAAACTTGAGACAGGGCCCAGCAATTTGTGCTTTTATAGCCCTGAAGTCTCAGACTGCCAGCTGGATAACACTGACTGCAGGTTATGGTCAGTCCTGTGGCTTATGTTGGCTAGCCATGACTTTCACCCTTTTCTTCCTCCTAGGGATATTGAAATGCCAGAATGCCCCTCAATATCACAGAGATCTATCTGCTTCTGCTTCCCGAGTGCTGAGATTAAAGGAGTACGGCCACCATACTCAGCAAAATATGCAAACTATTTTTATATTTGGCATTTTAATTTTTATTTATTAAGAGCATGTAAAATAGTCTCAGCAGAGTGACTACTACAGTTAAGGACTGCAGTTCTATTAACGTAGCCAGAGCAATAGCTTTCCTTTTTTTAAAAAGCTATACCCTACATCAAAAAAACTGCTATTCAGAAGATATATTCCAGTGGGCATAACCAGAACAAATATGTCATAAAATAATACTCTCACTACGACATTTTCTGTGCTGTTATAGTTAATGTGTTCTGGGAATAATCCAGTGAATTGATTTCATGACTCACTAATGAAATGCAACCTGCATTTTGACAAACAGAGATGCAGTGGGCTGTTTGCATGGACCACAGTTACTGTTTCTGGAGCAGGAAAAGAAGCAGTGGTAGGCAACCTCACCTTGGTGTCAGGTGGACTTGGGTTTCAGTATCTGTTCTGCCTCCCTTTGCCGGGTAACTTTGGGCCATTTACATGTGTTTTCTGAGCTCCTCTTTCCTCATCTGTCAATGTGGGTGATAATATTTACCTCACTGGGTCATACTGACAAGCAAATGTCAACTTTGCACAGTGCTTGACGGTGTTAGTTACTGTCTTACTGCTAAAAAGAGTACTTTAACACAATTGAGCATTGTCAATTAAGTGACTTTTATGATAACCACCGTAAAACCATGTCCCACAATTCTGTTTTTCTGTAATACAGTTGAATAGGTAACCTCTGCAGTCTAGGCATTTAGAAATACTTATTAATAATAATTTTATTCTTAAAATGTATCCAAATTCTGTACTTTTTTTCAAAATACATTTATTTTGATATAAAGAATGCTGCTCATCTCCCTCCATTTTTTGAGGGTTCTGAGATTGTAGAAGATGCTTTAAGTACCACAGTATCACTCTGAGTAGAGCACTTGGGAAGTTGGACCTATTCTTGTGCTTTGTGGAAAGGTGCTTGATAGATTTTTTTTGTTTTTTGTTTTTTGAAGCTATAGCATCTCTATGAATGCAGGTCTGTAAACTGACACTTAGAAGACGCACTTGCAAAAGCACTTGGAAGAAGCAGAAATTAGTCACTCATTAGGATAGATGCTGGACAGATCAAATTAAAATGCATTTGTCTTTCTGGAGGTCATGATTGTGGTTGGTGGCCAGGCACCCAAGGCGATCCGCAGTGTGGAATGCTATGATTTTGAGGAGGACCGCTGGGATCAGATCGCTGAGCTTCCCTCCAGGAGATGTAGAGCAGGTAAGCAGCCCTGTCCCCTCCACCCTGATTCACCTTGGCTTCACAGCAGCCTTTACCTGGCTGCTCTCTGCGTCCCCTTTCGACCCGCACAGTTTGGACCTGCCCAGTTTGAGGTCAGTTCTAATGCACTTGTAAGTTCAAACCCATTCCGGAATTTGCTCAGATCAAGTGAGGTTAAGGAAGCATGTAGGAAAAGAAATCCAATGAGTGCTAGAGTGACTTGCAGGTATCTAAAGCTGGAGCTGATCCGGTGGTGAGTCACTCATATGCCTGTCGTATTCCCCTGTTGTCACCCATCATCGTGGGCAGCCAGCCAAGCACCTTCCTCACCCCCATGCCTCGATTTCTTCATTTCAGGTGTGGTGTTCATGGCTGGCCATGTATATGCTGTGGGTGGGTTTAACGGCTCTCTGCGGGTGCGGACAGCAGATGTATATGATGGCGTGAAGGACCAGTGGACCTCCATTGCCAGCATGCAGGAGCGCCGGAGTACTCTGGGTGCAGCAGTGCTCAATGACCTTCTCTATGCAGTTGGAGGCTTTGACGGCAGTACTGGTAGGTCCAGGATGTGTTGCCATATCTTACAAGTCTGGGTCATAGACACTACGCAACCTTTTTCTTCAGTCAGTTCTTGAGTTAACCTCTGCCCATTTGTAGCAGTGCCCCAGGAAGGTACTCATCTGAATTAGTCGGCTTTCCTTCAACTATAATGAAACACTGCTATATACAGAAAAGGATCAGATGCAGAAAGAGTAAGCTTGCCTAGCTGGAGGGAGCCTCAGTACCCTAGCGCTTTATTGAATGGTTGAGGGAACTGTGGCTCAGCAGTGGGAAGAGGGCTGGCTCAGACTACACAGTGGGCCAGGCTACATCCTCTGCCTACTGTCCTTTCTGCTGCTTCCTGGAGCCTTGCAGTCTCCATCACTCACAGGCCCCTCACCCCCAGATTTTATCTTGTTTCAAAATTTCAACCTGAACCATTAGTGGTCCTGGGTTTGGAGAAAGGACGTCATCCATACTCATGTTGTCACTTGGATGTCTCTGAACGTAGTGACTCAGTTGAACTACACTGATACTCTTTGGCCCCTAGAGAGGTAAAAAGTAATATTTTTTACTCTTTTGAGTCTTTGTGTCGTCATAATTTGCCTCCGTCATGTAATTCAGAGTCTGTAAGTCCCTCTAAAGGCTCTTTGGTGAGCAAGATCTGGGAGCAAAGAGAATGTAAGGGTGGTGGTGCATCATTTCATTAAAGACTTGCCTTGTTAGGAGTAGAAACCATGACTAAACTGTACCAAAAAAATGAACAATCTTGTTTCACCCCAGAGAGTAAACATGAAGTACAGAAGTCACTGGTTCCGCATTTGGTCCTGTGACACAAGGTCGCTTGGGGCCAAATTTTCAATCCTCTTGGCTCGTCCCTCATGATCCCAGCATTGCTCTTACAACTCTAGCCAAGACATTTGTGTTCCTGGCAACACGAAGCAGGGAGGGGTAGCACCCGTGTATCAGAAAAGTAAAGGTCATTCCAGAACTCCCCCATCAGATGTCTGCTTAGGGCTCAATGACACCTAGCTGCAGGGGGATTTTGGAAGGCAAGTCTCTAGCTTTCCAGCTTATGAGGTAGAGGAAGGGATTGGAAAAGGAGACTGGAGCAGGTGTCTGGGGAAGCAGCCTTAGATGTTTACTTGGAATCAAATGTTCTACTCCATAAGTTTGATGACTTATATTTGCAGTGCAATTCAGATGTACCCCTTGTTATTTCGGCAGCTCCCCTGTATGTCATGTGCTAGTGGCTAGTGGTCATGTGCTATAGACCCTGCAAGTGTATTCAGGGAGTTGTCATGGCCACATGCCAGGCAAAGGGGTATTGCGCTGGACAGCGGAGTCTTTAGACTTGGTTTGGCCTCTTCCTATCTCACTGCTCCTCTCCTAGCAAGGTGAGGCCTATAGATGTAGAAATCCAGATCTTCACGTCTTATCTCTAGGCTTGGCATCAGTAGAAGCCTACAGCTACAAGACCAACGAGTGGTTCTTTGTGGCCCCAATGAACACACGGCGGAGCAGCGTGGGAGTGGGTGTTGTAGAAGGTAAGGAGGAGCAGAGGGTGGGAGCCAGTCCTGCCCTGGCCTTTGGGTCTTGTCCTAGGTCCAGCATTGTGCTGATGCTCCCTTTATTATGACTCCATTCTTCAGGCTGAGTTAAATACTATTGTCTCCAGTTAATAGATAAGGAGGCCTGGCATTCAAGAGGGGAAGCTCTGGAGCCAAGGCTAAGAAGGGGTTCAGCAGGTTAAGCAGAAGAAGTAGGGAGTAGGAAACAGGGAGCTCAGCGTCAACATATAAGCCAGGGCTACAATGTGGTAAGTGGGAGTTAATTGTGCTTAATTAATTTGCTGCTCACCTATTTATTTATTTATTTATTTATTTAGTATTTTGAGACAGGATCTCCCTGTAGCCCTAGCTGGCCTGGAACTCACTATGTAGACCAGGCTGGTCTTGAACTCACAGCCATCCGCCTGCCTCTGCTGCTGCTCACCTTTATGTGTTGCTCATCAAAATAGCAATGAGAGAGACAGGCTCCTTTCCCCAGGTCTGATGAGCCTCTCTGGGGACAGGTTTGGTGTTGAAGCCCTGTGCTAGGCAGGAAAAGTGTGTGGGGTGAGGGAGGAGGAAGTGGGGGCCAGAGACCTGTCTAGACAGTACTCAGGAGCTTGTACAACACCTCTTATTTGTGTTCCTAGGCCCTTTGAAAGAATATAGGTAGGACTCAGACTTTTCTCTGTTTTCCAATTGGGAGACTGTCAAATCCAGATCTTCTGACTCCTAGCCTAGTGGTCTTTCACTGTAACCCTTTCCTTTAGACCATTGTCAAATGGTTGAGTTTTACAAACGTGATGGAGACTGAATTCTGGAGAGGGAAGGTGCTGCACTTGCATTATGGTAGTAAATAGCAGAGCAGTCAAATCCAGATCTTCTGACTCCTAGCCTAGTGGTCTTTCATTGTAACCCTTTCCTTTAGACCATTGTCAAATGGTTGAGTTTTACAAACGTGAATTCAGTGTACCGATAAAGAGAGAGCATTATTTGAACTAAAACATTAGAGATGATTGGCCAACACTGATTCATTAGCCTGACCTGATGTCTGTTTGTTTAGACTGGTGCACAGATGCCCTCTGTTGCACACGAGAACATACACACATTCAAGCATAATGTGCAGTGAGATGGTGATAGATTTTCTTCTCTCATGGCACTTTCCAGTCTGTACAGTATAGTTCAGCTTAAAAATTTCACTTAAACATGTATTATATTGCAACATAGCTAAACAAGTCATCTTAGTGAGGTAAGGATCTTGTGCCTCTACTAAGACAAATTATTTCTTGCTGGCTCATCCTCTTGGTAGGAGAGAAATTTGTCTGTCAGAAGAGCTTTTTCTAACCACCTTCCCATTTCCCTTCTTGCTCCTCAGCCAGGAATATCAAGCAGTAGACTAGGGATTAAAAATAGCAAATCTCTGTTATTAGATTCGAGGAGAAACCTTGAATGACTATTTTTTTCAGCTGATACAAAGTTGGAATGGGTTGTGGAGGTCATGGGGGGCGGTTTAATGGTAGGGATTTAAACTGCTATCCTTGACAGGGCTTTTTCCTGCACGCTTGCATGTGGAAGATGTGCTGTCAAATGGCTTGCTCTGTGGCTAGGGAGGATGGCTGGGACTTTTTCTCTCTTGCTTCTCCTACATCGGAAACCATTCGGACTGTGGGCTACCCCCGAGCAGCAGAAGGTTTGGTGAGAATGTAAACGAGGAGCTGAAGTTTGCTCTGCTTCAAATGGTCTTGAACATACAGCTTCCTACATTGTTTGGTTCATTCGCCCCCTTCTCACCATTTTATTATCATGGTTATGCTGTCTGAATGACCTTTAAAATCACAGGATACTTTATTACTAGCTGCCGGGAAGAATCCTTCCTTAGAGCAAGGGAAGTGGAGTATATGCAGAAGTGTGTTACAGAGATGCTCACGTCTGAGCCAGAGCACACCTTGTGAGTGGCTTGGACTCTGGAGGAGCTACTGAGTGGTTTTATAACTTTCACTTCGTGAGGGAAGAACTGTGGATAAGTTGCCTCTTTCAGAAAGGCCGATTGGAAGGACTCAGAGAGAAAATGCAGCCATGCTGGGTGATGGCAGGATTGCTGCATCAGTAACCCTCATGCTTCAACATTGTTTAGAACCCGAGAAACTAACAATTACAGATTTTCAAATCGTAGTTGTACCCTCCATATTAGGCAAGCACATAAGGACCAGAACCTCTTGATTAAATCACCCTGTTAAATAGATTTGCACGTATACATTTATTTAGCCTGCAGCTATTAGCCTGTCACAGCGTCTCATAGATCTAGGATCCATAGGTAAGATAGGGCTCCTCTCTCTGTCCCCACAGGCTGTTCCATTGTATCCTAAGACTAAATGTTAAACACAAAATGTTTGAATCTTTGTTCTCACATAGCTCAAATAACAAGTTTTTGCTGATTTGTCCTACCGTGATCCCAGTCTCAAGCCCCAGATGGAAATGAAACTCTTGCATAAGAGCTTAATGTTATTTTTATTTTAAAATAATAATAATATTTCAGGGTTCTTGTGCATTGCTCAGAGAACAAAGGTGGTCTACAGAAAAATTCTAGCTACCTCAGCCCAGAGTGTACACAGCACACTTCCTTCATCTGTTCTACCTGCTATGGCTATGGGAGGAGTGGAAACAGGGCCTAGGGCAGGGTTTGGTTCTCACTGAGGAATATCCTTCCATATTTTCCCATCTGTAATTGTGAGCCTGTAGCTAGAAAGTCGAATGCCTGTTTATAGCTGAGAGCCCTCTAGCTCTCCATCTGTCCAGTGCTGGTGTCTTATTAAAGTTTTATATTGATTGATTTATTTTTGTGTGTATGACTATTTTGCCTACGTGTATGTAAGTCCACCCATGCATACAATGTCCACAGAAGCCAGAAGAGGGCATCATATCCCCTGGAACTAGAGCTATGGACAGTTGTTAGCTGCCATGTGAGTGCTGGGAACAGAACCAGGTCCTCTGTAAGAGCATCCAGGGCTCTTAACTACTGAGCCATCTTTCCAGCCACTTGTTGTAGAGAAGTGTTAACCTACTTCCCCAGCAAGAATATGTTGAACTCCAGTGGTGCTGAATTGTAGCTTTGTACTGGGTGTTTGGGAGTGATGTCGAATTGTAGTATTCTGGCTGTTTGGGGCCTTTATTTAGAAAGTGTTCCAAGCAATGCTTCTCAAGCGCTCATGCATTAAGAGCAGGCACAAGGCATAAATATGAAGGAGGATGTATTCCCCGCCCCCCATGTCTGGAGAGTAAACTGGGTTCTCCTGGTAGAAGAGAACCAAGAACTCTGATTGAGGTCAAAGTACCCCAGTAGGTTAAAAATGAAGCATCAGCCAAACTCCTGTTTCGCGCCTGCATCCCTGGCACCACCACCTCATTTGTCTATTCCAGGGAGGTTGTATGCTGTTGGGGGTTATGATGGAGCTTCCCGCCAGTGCCTGAGCACCGTGGAGCAGTACAACCCAGCGACAAACGAGTGGACCTATGTGGCAGACATGAGCACCCGACGCAGTGGCGCAGGTATGGGACAGCCTCAGGGTACAGGCCGCGTTTGTTTTCTTCGTGAGACAACTGAACAGAACACTTCATTCCACCTTCTTCCCTCGGCTTTCCTTTCGTTGTGTATAATCCCACTTCCGCATTTACAGCTATTCTCACACTCGAGAATAACTTTCTCAGCAGGACGCCTTTGCCACAGAATGGAAGGAGTAGTGTCTTTACTCTCATCTCTCCTGTTTCTGTTATTACTGTTATTATTGGTGTGGGTTTTTTTGGGGGGTTGTGGTTGTTTCTTTGTTTTGAGACAAGGTTTTGTTCTATGGCTCAAGGTTGGTCTCAGACTTACCACATAGCCCAGATTGCACCTAGAGCATCCCTTCTGTTTCTGTGCAGGCCTACATCTCTGGAAAGCGGTGGCTCACTATGTGCAAGGCTCTGTCATGATGCACATTTTCCCCTTTCTTTCCTCTGAATCTCACTACATACTGCAGGGCCTCAAACTTGCTAGTCTACTGTTTTGATCACTGAATGTTGAGTTACAGGTGTACCACCACGCCTGGCCTATGCCCCCATCTACTTAATCCTCACCACAGCCCTCCCTAAACGGTTACTGATACAAATCCCACTTCCAAGATTTTGAAAGGAAGTTCTACCAGAGTCTGAGTAATTTGTTCAAGGTTATAGAATTCATAATTGCAGAGTTAGAATTCTCCCTCCCGGGCGTGTGTTTTTAGTTCTCAAACAATCGGTCTCCATCCTGTGGGGTAGTGACAGGCACTGCTGCCCTGCCTTTAGCTCACCAGTTCAGCTTGCTGGTCTGAAGCCCCTGTCTTGAGATTTGAAAGCCAGCATACTAGTGGTCATGGTTGGAGACAAACCCGTCTCTTAAAATATTTTATTTACTATTTTATTTGTTTGGCTATATTACCTGCATGTATGTAAGTGCACCCACATCATGCAATGCTGCAGAGGTCAGAAGAAGGCATTGGATCTCCTGAAACTAGAGTTATGAATAGTTGTTAGCCACCATGTGGGTTCTGGGACCTGAACCTGGGTCCTCTGTAAGAGCTCAGGACATTTAAACACTGAACCTTCTTCCCAGTCCCAAATTAAGTTTCTCATCCCCACTTTTCTTCCCTTTGCCTGCCTCCAACATGGCAAGAAAACCACCTCTCCAGTGGTTTTCTACTTCTGTTGAGAGGGAAGTCTAGGCACTCATGGCTTCTTTGTGGATTTTTCTGGAGCTTCAGCAATAGCCTCTTTCTCCTTGATTTGTCTCCCTATCAGCAGGAGCCCATGGAAGGGTTTGAGAGAGCAGGCAGAGGCCCTTGGACACAGTTCCTTGAGTTCCTGGTGATTAATCTGATTCTCAGTCTGGAGCTGGTGGGAACGCCAGTCATATACTCGTCCCCTAGTTACAGGTTCTCTCTGTCTCTCGTCCATCTCTTGTCTCTGTCTCTCTCTGTCTCTGTCTCTCTCTGTCTGTCTTTCTCTCTCTGTCTCTCTGTATCTCTCTGTCTCTCTGTCTCTCTCTGTCTCTCTCTCCCTCTCTCTCTCTGTCTCTCTCTCTCCCCCTAGCTTGCTCTCATATTTTCAGAGATTGAATTATAATCTCCCATTTCCTTAGCATTTTGTAAAAGTTATGCTATTTTAATATTATTTACATTATTTTTGTGAAGAATCTTTGTGTGCCCACTGGTGGGTTACAAAGGGAAAGTCTGTACAATTCTATTTCAGAAGCATTTGTATTTAAAGTGTTACCTTAAGAGAGTTGTCTCTGTTGGCCCTTCCTGAATGTGTAGCACATGCCTTGGAAATCAGGAAACATGAGCTTTAGACATATTTAAAGCATGTTTAGCATGTGTTTGAGCATGCCACATGAAGGTGCATAATCCTCTCCCTACTTCTGGCCTCAGATATGAAATGCATGGGCTGCTAATGTTCTTGAAGGATCCAAGAACATTCACAAATCCCATAATTTTTTCTTTCTTGATGTTTTAGTAATTTATAGTTTCTAGGGCCTTTTTGTAAGTCCTAAAGCCTGTATTGTGACTTGAGGCATGACAGTAAGTGCTAAAGTCCCAAGCATGTAGGAACAGCCCAGCAGAGTGTGCCCAGGCCACCCATGGTGAAGCCAGGGTCTTTAGTCCCTGGAACTTGGGCCCTTCCTGTGGTGGAGCTGCCTTTGGGTCCATTCTTGATTTGTTGTTGCCAGCTGCTCAGGTTATTGCTGGGGTCGACGTCACTTGGGATCTTCCTGCCTCTCAACTTGGCTGGGCCCCTAGATAATACCATTGCTGTTGTCTATGTATTCAAATTACTGAAGAACTCTGTCCTAGGTTCCTGGGTCAGTCTTTCTCCAATGATTCACTTTGCAAGGATTTGGGGGAGGTGTCACCTCTGCAGCTAGGAACCTATGTAATTTTCTGGACAAAGACTAGGAGACCAACGGTTCTGTGTTCCAGCTGCCTGAGGGCCAGCATGGCTTTCATGGATGTTCATGATCAGGCTACTGAGGGACTGGACAGTGACTTGGCAGTGGCACTTGTGCTTGTAAGGCTGCTAGCTTCCTGAGCAGGTGGGAAGCAGGGTTCTGGGAGGTGTCAGTTCCTGCTGACCCAGGAGGAAGGGAAGGCAAGCAGCTTTAGAGTCTACTGAGTTTTATGGAGCCTCCATCCTAATGCCAGTCACTGCTGCTCAGCAGCACCATCTGCTGCTAGTTTATGGCAATTGCCAGGAGACGCCAGTTTACTTCATAGTTGCTGCCTGGGATTTTGTATTACATTTTGTTATTCAAATAATATCTACTAAGACTTTCCAGTGCAGCCATAAATGGGGAACACACACTCCTCTGTAAATAAACCCCTACCCTATGCTCTATTAAAAAAAAGAAAAAAATAATATCTACCAAGAACCTACTACCATCAGACACAGGAAAACAGGTCAGAACAAGATAGACATATATATGTTATATATATGGTTTTTGACCATATAACTTTGTAGCCTACAAATCTAATCCTTAGATTCAAAACCTGGCTGCATATCCCAGTCCCTGGGGAACTTTTGGGGGCTTCTGATCGAGTCTCTGGGAGTGAGGATCTATCTTTCCAGAAAGCTCCCAAGAGACAGAGATGCAGCCTGTCCGTGGAAGGGAATAATCCTTGTAACTACTGGGCCTTTCCAACTCCCTTCCTCTTTGAGTGGGAAAACCGAGACCCAGAAAGAGAAAGGGTTAAGCAGAAGGGTGTTGGAGAGACAGGTCCAGAACACAGGTGTCCCAGCTTTCTGAACAATTGCTCTTCCAAGGTGTCACTTTACCCCTTTTATGGTTTTATCTTCTCAGGTCATAGTGAAAGATTCTAAAAGGTTGCTTTAAAACTGGTCAGTAATGCCATTCCAGCCCTTAGCTCGGGCTGAGTCTCCTCTACAGGTCTGATGCCCTCTGCCGTCAGGAGAAAGAGGCAAAAGGAACACTTTCTACTTACAAAGCTGGCAGGGACTTCTCCCTAATGATTACCTCAGCACACCTGCTGTGTGGCTGGTTTCAATTTTCAGCTGTTTGCTCAACTAATACAAGGCTGAATGATAAAACAGTATAGGAAAATGGGACAGTATGGATAGGCAAAAGAAAACAAGTGTCACTTTACTGCCCAGAAGCAACTAATTTTCATATTTTGGTGGATTTATTTAAGTCTTTTTTAAAATCCCTTTGCTTATTACTCCCTATATATGTGTACACGTGTATGTTTAGTTTTTAAAAGAAATGGTATCTTGTTTACTTTATTATCTCAATGTTTCTAGGTTTCCCATCTTACAAGGAGGTGGGCAGAGTATCATTGTATTTGTTTTACAGATGAGGACACTGAGGTCCAGGGAGACAGCACAGTACTCCCCAAGTCACCCTGCTGGTGATGGCTGTCCAGGGCTGGACACCAGGCCACCTGGTTTTTGGTTCCTGGAGGGATCCTGAGACTGGGACACTGTGCTCTGCCTTTCAGGGGTTGGGGTGCTCAGCGGACAGCTGTATGCCACAGGGGGGCATGATGGGCCCTTGGTGAGGAAGAGTGTTGAAGTTTACGATCCTGGGACAAACACCTGGAAGCAGGTGGCAGACATGAACATGTGTCGACGCAATGCAGGTAATGTGATTGCTCTCTCCTTCTCCCTTTGGGGGTGGTCTACGGGTCTTTCCTCCTTGTAGACAATCACATTAAATGAGAGGAAGAGGGGCAGGACTCCTAGAATACGAAGCTGTGCCTGTATCCTAGACAAAGAGTGTCCGTTTGTTCCATAGGCTCTGAGGTAAGAGAGGGGAGAACCTGGGACTCAAGGTGCTGGCCACGCGGTCCCACTGAGATACAGAGGGGTTCCTTCTCTTTAGTGGAGGAAGATGCCTACATCTACCGATACCTTTGTTGAATGACTTGACTGGTAGCCAGGCATAAAACTGTGTGGAACCAGGCTGGACAATAACACTTGTCTCTGTTTTTTTTTTTTGCCAATGCCTGACTGGAAGAGCCTTGCACTCTCATGGGGTCCAGTTTCCTTCCTGGCAGGAGAACCAGACCCCCAACTGATTCTCCAGTATAATTTCTCTCTTTATTTCCTTCTTTGTACTTCCGGCCTCTCCTTCCATCTGCTTCCCATATTTCTTCTTAGAGGAATGACTTGTCCCGGAGTATTTAGTGTGTCCTAGAGCCTGATGTCCCTGTCAAACTTGAGAAATGTACCCTTTGATTTGTGCCCTGTGTTGCTATATCTTGCTTTGTATTTCTTTGCTCTGGGAAAGTCCCCAAGTTGGAACCAACTAACAGGTGTTTCAGGCAGATATATTTCATTATTCTCATATTGGTTATTTGCTAAACTCGTGTGTGACTGACTCGTTGGAAGTGTAAAACTAACTCATTTGCTCATTGGCTGAGCCTGCTGTGACACATTTTGGCATCTGGCCTTAAGCCACATGAGCAAGAAATTACAGAGCCTGTAAGAAAGCTAACTCTATCTATGGTCTATAAATTAAGTTTAGATACAAATGTGAACATGTTCAAACATTCACACGTAGATATTTCTATTTAATAACAAAATGGAATCCTACTATAATAGTTTTATAACATTCTCTTTAAAACTTGTTTTTCTTTTCCTCAGCATCTTACTACAACACTAAATTTCTTTACATGATATTATTTAAAATGGTATATGATAATTTAACCAAGTTATTGTTGGATATTTAGCTTATCTCCTTTTCTACACTGCAAGTAATGCTGTAGTTAATATAAATGATCCTTATAGTCAAATCAACATACATATGTAAAACCACTTCTCTAGAAGTCCAGATGTAGACTTTTGAGGCAGAAGAAGGACCTGTGTTTTAGATTCCATGCAAGAAAGATATACATTTTATACTCCCACCAGTATTTGAGAGTATCTTTATCAACATTAATACTTAATACTTAAAAATGTATCATCAATCAAGTAGAATTTATAAATATATACAATTTATGAGACTATGACTTTTAAAGTATTGGTAACAGAAATGACATTTTCCTACCCTTCAGTCAAGTGTCACAAGATCTTGCCCTCAAGCTAGCTCGCTCAGATCAGAATAGAAAGGGAACCCCAACTGTGGGAGCTGTGTGTGAATTCAGATGCCGATCTTATGAGGAGCTTACAGGCACACCAAATGGAAATAACATATAGCTTAACAGAGAAAAGCTTAAAACCACAGAAGCAGTGATGTACATAAAATCTTTTGCATCGTCTTATTCCCTAGCTCAGGCTGACCTTACTGGTAATGGGGATCCTCAGAGCCTAGGGCTGTGGTCAGCATGTTCCTCCCTAGGGCCATTTGAGACCTCCAGAGCTACACCTCCATCATGCAACAGAAAGGGGTGGGGAAAGAGCCTCCAGGCCAATGGATATCAGTTTCCCATGGGTCCTGATCTCAGCTGCTCCCACCATAACCTCTCCTGTGACTTTTCTTTGATTCCCAGGGGTCTGTGCAGTGAATGGGCTCCTGTATGTGGTTGGAGGGGATGATGGATCCTGCAACCTGGCATCAGTAGAGTACTATAATCCAGTCACTGACAAATGGACACTGCTGCCCACCAACATGAGCACTGGGCGGAGCTATGCAGGTCAGTGGGTTCTAGCTCCACCCACTTGTGGAGCCACAACTCTAAGGACAAGAACAGGGTGAGGGGATGGAGCTTGTTTAAGTGTGAACTGAATACCTCCTACAGGGGGGCAGGCAGCTGTCACACCAGCTACTCTAACTTCTCTGTGTGCCTTGAAGAATGCTGCGAATTAGCCCTCCCCTTCTCTGTGAACCTGAAAGTAGCATGAGAACTCTATTTTGCTTGTTTTTTTGTTAACAAAAACATGCCTCTGATAATCTAGAGGATGAGAAAAACCAGAGAAGTTGAAACTAATGCTTATTTTATTATATATTATTATTTAATTTAAAAAATGTCGACAATTTCATAGATGAGTACTGTATTTACCTCACTCCCCTCCCCTCCAACTTTCCGTGCCTCCCTTCACTCTGTCTCAAATTCATGACGATGTCTTTAATTACTGTTGTTATACACATGCATACACAACGTGTTATACATACATATAGTACTGCTCATATGTACACGTGTTTAGGGATGACCACTTAGGACTCAAAATGTCAGGGAGTTCATCCCTGGAAAAAACTGGTTTTTCCTCTCTCAACCTGTAGCTCTTCATCTAGGAGTAGGGTCTTGTGAAATTTCCCCCATCCACAATGGCTTGTTAACTGGTGGTATCATCATGCAGGTTTAGGCAACCATGTTGCTGAGATCTCATGGGTGCAGTGTCTCTGTCGTGTCTAGAAGACACATCTGGCAGCAGGTGTCCTGGTCCTCTGGCTCTTACAATCTTTCCACTCCCTCTTTGGTGGTTTTCCCTGAACCTTAATAGTAGAGGTTGTGTTGTAGATGTATCATCTGGGGCTGGGCACCTCATGGTCACTTATTCTCTGCGTCAGTTATGGATCTGTAATAGTCTCTATCTGTTGCAAAGAGAAGCTTCAGTGATGAGAGGTGAGAGCTGACTTCTCTGTGGGTATGAGGACAAATATTTAGAATACAGTTACAAATTATATTGGTTTAGGAAAATGGCAGTAGTAGGTTCTCTTCTGGGGTTTATAATCTCTCTAGCCTTGGGTGTTTGGCTAGGTTTGCAGTACCAGGCATGAATGCCTTCCTGCTGTGTAGGCCTTAATGTTCAATTAGATGGATTAAAGTGCCAGTACTGCTTCATCAGGGATATCTGGCCAGGCTGGTCATTGTGGTGCATAGGTTTTACAACTGGTAGGACTATTGATTACATTTCTTCCTTGGCAGCTTGCACAGCACCTTCTGATACCAGAGCTAGTCCTCAGGGAGGAGGCTTCAAGGTCATTTCCAATTCAGTTCCTTCAACTTCTGTGTCCAAAGTGTGTGGTATCTTCAGCAATAGGGTCTTCCCTTCAAGTTCTGGGAGGGAACCAAGGGCAATGACAATAGCCTGTATTGCTTTGGGAGTCTCTTGAACCCCCTGACCAACAACTAAAAGGGAGACTTTGCAGGCCTTGCTTGCACTGGGGTTTTTGTCAGATTGTCTATGGCTCTTGAGGGGAAGCATTATGCCCATGCGGCATAACTCTATTAAAACTATATATGCAAATATATTATATTTTAAAAGTAAACTTATAAAGCAATATGCCTCCCTGTGTCTTTAAAAAATATTCTTAGTGTTATTTATATTTTCTTCCTCTCTTTTCTTCCGAATTACCTTTTTTCCTTCCTCCACAGTTAACCCCCCCCATTTTCCACTTCTCTCTTCATAGTACCTGTGTCCTACTATCCCCCTTTCTAGAGCTCCTTCTCCCCTCCCCTCCCCCTATGGTCCTTTCCTATTTTCCTGGCTTCTGTGATTACTCTAGGTTATATACTGAAATCTAAAGATTTGGAGCTAGGATCCACAAATCCAAAAGAACATGTGTTGTTTTCCTTTCTGGGTCTGTAGCTGAATAGAATTACATTATGTATAAGTACTGCATTTTCATTATCCATTCATAGGTTGAGGGACATTCAGGTTTTCCATTTCCTAACTATTATGAATAGAGCAGTAATGAACATAACTGAACAATGCCACTATAGTAGGATATTGAGTCATTTGACTATGCCAAGGAGTGGTGTAGCTGGGTCGTATGGCAGGTATACTTTTGGCTTTTTGGAATTACCCACTATGATTTTCATAGTGGCTGCACCAGTTTGCAACCCCATCAACGGTGACTGAGTGTTCCTCTTTCCCCACATCCTCACCTGCATTTGTTATGAGTTGTTTTCTTGATTTTAGCCATTGTTGCTTGGGTAGGATTAAATCTCAAAAGTATTTTTAATTTGCATTTCCTTAACTGCTAAGGATATTGAACATTTCATAGGATATTTCTTTGCCATTTTTTTTAAAGAACTCTCTGTTCAAATCTGTTGCATAATTTTTAATTGGTTCATTTGTTTTCTTGATTCTTTGTTTTTTTTTCTTTTTTTTTTGAGTTCTTTGGACATTAATCCTCTGTCAGAGATGGAGCTGACAGAGTCTCTCCCACTCTGCTGACGTCCTCATCACTCAGTTGATTGTTTCCTTTACTGTACAGAAGTTTTTAGTTAATGATGTCCCAGTTGTGAATTGTTGGCCTTAATTCCTGAGTGAATAAAGTCCTGTTCAGAAAGTCCTTTCCTGTACTATATCTTGCAGGGTACTGCCTATGTGTTCTTCTAGAAGTTTCTGCCTTTCAGGTTTCACACTGAGGTCTTTGATCCATTTAGAGTTGATTTTTGTGCAAGGTGATAGATATAGGTCATATTAAATACATGACTTAATGATGAAACTCAAGAATTTGGTAAAACAAACCAAATCAAACCCAAATCCAGTAGGTGGGAAGAAATAAAGAAATCGGAGCATAAATTAATGAAATAGAAAGAAGGCAAACGCTACAGTGAGCAATGAGTCTAAGAGTTGGTGTTTTCTTAAACAAGATTGACTGACCCAGCTCACTTACCAAAAGAAAGAGGAGACCCAAATTAGGAGACTCAGTGTGAACAGTGAAACATTGTAACAAACACCAAAGATATTTAGAGCATTATAAGGGAACACTTTAAAAACTTTTGCTTCATTAGGTTAGAAAACCTAGGAGGAATGGATGCATTTCTAGATTCATCTTACCCACCAAAGTTACACCAAGAAGAGATCAACAGGTTAAACAGACCTATAACAAATAAGGAGCTTGAGACAGTAATAAGAAGTCTTCTGACTAGAAACAGCCCAGGTCCAGATGGATTCACAGCAGGACTCTACCAGACTTTCAAAGAACTACAACCAGTACTTAAGTTATTAAAAAATAGAAACAGAAGCAGCATTTCCAAACTTCTTTTACAAACACACCATTATTCAAATACCCAAACCAAAATTCTTAGTGTAGTGTTCCAAAGGTACATTTCCCCCTGACCTGAGCTGTGATGATAGATTTCAGATGGCTATGGCTATTTCTGGTTCATTTTGTACTGGGAGTCTATGTGGCATAAATTATAGTTCTTGCTCTTTAGAAGTTGGGTTGCAACTTCTAAGCCTTCACAGATGGGAAATACAAGATGATGTGAATGTAAGTCATGAATGGAATGCAGAGTCCAGTTTTAGGACAGAGCAGTTGTGGTGGCAGTGAGGGGCCTCTTCTCAGAGGACGTGGGTTCCCTTAGACTTTGAGTCACAATCACACACAATGCTGCCTGTTGTTGGGTACTTTCTGTGTTAGGTAGTTTCTTGTTGCTGTGATGGACTCTTGAGAGTACTTGTATCAGTGTGTTGGGAGGGGTCATTATGGTTTTAGTACTTGGTTGCTTGACTGCTTTGCTTCTGGGTTGTGAGGCTGAATATCATGTCAGGGAGCATGTGGGAGAACAGAGCTGTTAATCCGGCAGCTGGGAAGCATAGAGACAAGAGTAGACCAGGGAAAAGGTATTCTTCAAAGATGTACCTCCAGTGACAAACTTCCCCCAACCAGACCTCACCTCCTAAAGTTTCCAGTACCTCCCAAAATAGCACTGCAAGCTGGGCTCCAAACCTTCAACACATGAGCCTGTAGGGGATATTTCATATTCAAACTGTAACACCCTCTCTCTGGGCCATCACCCAGCGTATTAGGGGTAGAGTGTACATTCCCTCTCTTCAGCAGCCCTCAGGCTGAATTGGACTACGTTTTTCCATTTTGTATCAGAGGTGTGGAGGATTTCAGTAATTGTCAAAGACCACACTGCTAATAAATAAACGGCCAAGTCACAATTTAAACCTAGATCTGACTTCTGTCTGTGTCATAGCCTTTCTACTTCCGCAGCTCAGGGTTGATGAAGAGGAGTAAGGCGTAAGATTGACACAAAGGCTGCTTCTTGGGGAGTATGCATACCAAGTTCAGTGAGGTGCAGGGTGAAGGTGCCGTCAGAACTGATGTTGATGAGGTCAGTGGTCCTGAGGAGGAGATATGCAAACATATACTTACTACATACCCTAATTCTTTATGTCTGGTCTTCCAGAAATTGGAACAACTAGACTAAACATTTATTTATGTAGCATACACAATGTGCCGTGCATAATCTTAGGTATTTAGACATTGTTATCTCATGTGATCTACACCCGGGCTCTAGTAGTTCTCTTATCCCCACTTCCCATTAGAAAGCTGGTCGTCCCGTCTTGTTTGGATTTCAGCGCCATGCAGGCTCCAGGGGCTGTGTGTCACATCCCTTCCCCAGTAGGCCCCATTGCAGTGAGCTGCTTTGCCTTTTTTCTCCTTTAGGGGTTTTCTCACCATGTCACATTTCCCTTCATTAAATATGAAAGACTTTGGAAGCATTTTGGCCCAGGAGTGATTTTGTTCTTCCGGCCTTCTCATGGAAATCAGCACCTTTCTCTGAAAATGTCGAGGGAAGACCAAGGCATTTTCTAGGATGAGACAGTGGAAGGGATCCTTTGACTCCAGCTGTATCTTAATGAGAAGGGAAGGCTTTAGTATGATCCATTAGGATTTCATATATGTGCTGAATGTTTTACAATGTCTCTCTTCATTTTCTGCCCACTCCAGAACTAGGTGGGTAGGATACAGTGTGATTTTGTACTCAAACCTGCTGACCGTATGAGTCTATTATCTTTTAAAAAAGACTTTATTATTTTTATTTTTTTATGTGTATGATTGTATTTACTGTATGTGTGTTAGTGCACACATATTGTACCAAGCCCTCAGGGGTCAGAAGAAGGCTTTGGATACCCTGGAACTGAGGTTACGGATGGAGGGAGGGCGGATGATTGCTGGCTGCCATGTGGGTGCTGAGAATCAAACCTGGGTCCTCTACAAAAGAGCAGCCAGTGCCCTTAACCCCTGTGTCATCTCTCTAGTCCGGAGTCTATTTTCTTAAAATCAAAGGAATGGCTCTGCAATATAAAAATTTAAGCCTGAAGTTATTTATTAGAGCATTGCTTGTGATTGCAATACTTATAATACTTAATGACTAACATTAGGGAAATAGTTAATCAATGGAATGTTTATATGGTGGGTATATTTTTAATGTCATGAGAAAATGTGCTAGATTTGTTGGGTTAAAAAAGGATATAGTTGTATGTGTCATGTATGTGTCATGTATGCTTAGTTCTCTGGTCCTAGGTTGGAGGACAGGGAGTGGATAGCTATTGCTTCTGGAAATGGATGTTGGAGTCCCAGGTTTGCCACTTGCCCTGAGTCTCTAGGTTGAATAGTCAATCTGCCTAAATCTCTGTTATTTCAGCAGTAAAATGGAGCTAAAACTAGGTTGAACCTCTAGGGCTGTTATGAGAATGAAATGTAAAAATATGTATAAAGTGCCTACAACAGTGCTTGCCTGGTCCTAGATACCTAACTGGTTAAGTGATTCTGTTTATTACTAGAAACCAGGAAGTAGTCCAACAAGATAATCATTGTTTTGTTTATATGAAGGATTATAGATTTTTTTGCCTTTGTGTCCTTTGCTATTTTCCAAATTTTCCATAATGAATATTTCTTCTTCCTCTTATCCTCCTCCCCCTCATTTTTTGTTGTCTTGTTTTTTTTTATGACAGCCATCTTATCAGCTGTGAGGTGACACCCTGTTAGCCTTTCTCCAATGACCAGTGATGTCGGGCATTTTTTCATATGCCCATTAACCATTTATATGTCTTTAAAGAACTGCCTGTTCAGGCTCCTTGCCTAATTTTTTGAGATTTTGCTTTGGATATTCTTATTCTTATTCTTATTCTTATTCTTATTCATTTTGGAGGCAAGGTCTCCCTGTTGTCCCAGCTGGCTTGGAACTCCTTATATAGACTGGATTGATCTTGATCTCACAGAGATCTGACTGCCTCTGCCTCCTGAGTATAGATTACTTTATAATCAAAAGAAAAGATATGAAAACAATAAAAGAGCCTGCTTTAGAAAATGCTACCTGTGAGAGAGATGTCCACAGTAGAGGTAAGATGCTGTAGAGGCCAGGCGGTACCTCTTAGCCTAGAACCAAGTTCTGCCTACCTTTAAGTTCTAATGTTTGCACTTTGAGCTGGGAATTAACAGGGAATGGATGTCTTAAGTAGTATTGCTGTGATGTTGGTATCCTGCGTTTTCTTTTAGCTGTGTTTCCTTAATCTCATCTTCAACTAGAACATTTTTTAAAGTTGTGGCATATGTTAAAATAAGTCTTCAGCAAATGTGTTACTTATAGACACTTTTGGAGTTACAATTTTAGTAGCAAGTTCCAGAAAGCCTGCTTGGTAGTTATTTACATAAGGATGGAGGTATACTGTCTCAGGTAGAAAGATGGCCGTGGCTGGCCTGGTGACCTAGACTGTCATTGAAGAATCGGGCTTCTCGTTGTGCTTCTCTTTTAACCCCTTTCAATAATTACTGATGCATCTCGGGTCTCACACAAGCATCACATCAGGACAAGGACAAGCTGCTGTTGCAGCACTGGCGACTTGTCTTACAATCTCATTGTCTGGGACTGGGCCACACGGCACTTTTTGAAAGGTGGTCTAGGAAGCTGAGTTTGTAACTAGCTGTTGTTTAGAGGACAGTGAGTATAAAGGATCTTGTCTGACTTGGCCACTAGTGTCTTCCATATAGCTCCAATCTATTATAGTGGGACTTGGGGTAAAAATGGCTTCACAAGCTTAGGACCTTAATATGGTTAAATTTTACTGACCCAGTAACATGTAGTATACGTTTGGAATGCTTATCTCAGTAGAAAATTTATTGCTGGCTGGATTATTCAGTTCTGTGACAGCAAGCAGTATGGGAACTGAACCTGCAGATGCAACCAGACTTGTGGAAGGCGACAATACAGATTGGTAGCAGATCTAGGATTGGAATTCAGGTTTTCTTCTTTTCATGAAGTCAATGTCTTCCAAACAGAAGAGCAGAATAAATCAAACATCATTTCTCCTAAAGTGACACAGATTTGGAGATGTACACTGGATTTTCAGTGAGGGTGCTGGGGATTGTTAAGGTGAGTGTTAGAGGTTGGGAAGAGATGTCATCACGATAGTCAGTGATCTATGGGTGATGTGGTTGAGTCTACTCATTGTGGTGCTTGGTGCTTGAGAGACTGTGCTTGTGGATTCAAATGTCCTGCCAGGAATTGGCTGTTAGAGTGCAACATCCATCATCTGTCAGTTCCAGTTCATGGACCTTTCAGTATTCCACTGGTTGTGACTTAGGAAGTCTTAGATTCATGAACACATTGGGACTCTGAATATCTTTGGAGAAGCAAAGACGATAACTTTCTTTTCCTTTCATGATAGGTGTTGCTGTGATTCACAAATCCTTATGACCCAAATTCCCACTGCCAGGAGGCAGAAGAAGGAGCAGGTGCTGCCTGTGACTTGGAGCAGCCAGACCATGATAACTGATGAGACTGTGAGGGTCTGCAGTGGTGTGAGACCCACCCTCCTTGTCTTGGCAGACTGGCGTTCCTCTCAGTGTGGACACTGATGACCCACCTTCTGCTCCCTGAGGTGCTTTGGCTTCTGCCCTGAGCAGTGGGTTTCCTGACAGCCCTAGCAGGACCTTTGAGCTTTTCTTTTTCTGTTCTGTTTCCTTCCTTCCTTCCTTCCTTCCTTCCTTCCTTCCTTCCTTCCTTCCTTCCTTCCTA